ATGTAATTCATTTTCCTAGTAACAGAATTTCCTTTGTGTTTTCTGTAAAATGACTTACGGATTCATTTTCCGTAAGTCATTTTCCGAACTTTTCACTTCAAAGCAAAAATACTCAAAATAATTTTATTTTATGAATTTAATATTAATAAAATATTTTAATATCATTTTCATCAAAATATTAATTATTAAAATATTTAAAATATATTTATTAATATTTATAATAATATAATATTATATTTTTAATATATATAAAATAATCAATTATATTATAATATAAGATATTATATTTTTATTTTAATAATATATAATAAATTTTTTTATATATTTAATAATGAATAATATTATTTATATATTTCAATAATATTTTAGTAAAGATATTAAAATATACTAATTAATATTTTTAAAATATAATATAGTACTATTACTTTAATAAATAATTAATATAATTTATAAAATTTTATTTCACTAAAATATACCGAAAAAATGTTTAAATAACATCTTCCAAACATCATAAAACGTTTTCCAGATGTTTTCCAGAAATGTAATTCATTTTCCAGAAATGTAATTCATTTTACAGAAATGTAATTCATTTTACAGAATTCAAATTCCAGTAATTCATTTTCCAGTAATTCAAATTCCAGTAATTCAAATTCCAGTAATTCATTTTCTAGAAAACCAATTACAGCTAAACAAACAGACCCTTAATTAAAGTTGTTGATGTTGCATGGTTTTTATTTGAAAACCCTTTACTAAGTTTGAAAGATGGTGCAGTAAAAGAACTTTCAAACCTTTGAGTCTTTTTCTCCTTTTTTTTTCTTTTTTCTTTGAGGTCCATCTTTTCTATGGCCTTTGCTTGATTTATAGCTTCTTGAAAAATAATAAAATTATGAGAAATCAATATCCTTTCATATTGAGCATCCAACCCTACAATGAACCTGTCAACTCTCAATTTTTCGGTTAGGATGAATTCTACTACAAATCGACTTAGTCTGTTAAATTCACATTCATATTCGTAAACAGGCATGCCAAATTGTTTCAGGTTCAGGAACTGTTGTCTCATTTCATCAATGAACACATCCCCAATATATTTTTCTTTGAATTCCTTTAGAAAAAATTCTCACATAATTTGTTTTGAAGGAACTTGTGTACCGAGTGTATTCCACCATACATTAGTTTACTCCATTAGTAGAGATACGACTCCCTCTAACTTTCCATGATCATCATAAGGAATCCTGCTCGGCATATTTTTTACATAATTTAACCGGTAATCAATAATCATTGAATTTGCATCAATATCACCCTGATATTATGGCGTTTTCATTTTCCTTAATTCCTTTGGAATATATATTAGTGCTCGATGATTAATGATAGCATCCAATTTTTGGAAGAAAAAAAAACCTCGATTTTGTACATGTATATTATGTTGAACTTGAGCAGGTGGTTTACATTATGTTGATCAAAAGGCGGATTTTGATTTACCTTATTATTCTCGCTTTGTGTAGTAGTATCATGTTCAGTTGTCCTATAAGATTACTGATGATCTAACATATGTATACAGTTACAGTTATCTAACATTAGTAAGAAGTAGCTTTACTAAATAATATGCATCATAGTAGTGGCATGTATATAATATTGACTCACTACAAACCCGATTCATGTCCATAATCGACTAAACATGTAATTATGACATCCTAGTGATATGTATATAATCTTAATACAATGACTAAGATTTAACATGGAGATTAACTTAAATCCAATGGACCACAATAAATCTTATCATTTTAAAACATAGAAAAGTCATTTTTGCCCATGCCCTATCATCTAGCAAAATTTCTTGAATTTTTTATTCGATTTGGTTGTCTGATTTTTTCTCGAACTTTCACCCTTTATAGTTTTTAACATAAATTTCGTACTAAAAATCTGAATGAAAAAAAGTCATTATAAAAGATAAATATTCATTTACGGGACAAAAATATATACTTTTAAAAATTATCATTTTAGTCTCTAAATTTTCCAAATATATACTTTAACTATAAAATATTTATTTTATTCATTTTGGTCACTAATCATATTTTTTTTTGGGTATTACACCCATCTCCTTCCCCATCCCTTTCCCTCTCCCTATCCTCATATCCCCCTCTTCCCCCTCCCTCTCCCTCTTCCTCTCCCGCTCCCGTCCCCTTCATTTTTTATATTCAAGATGATTTTACGAGTCTCGAAGTGACAGATTCAAGATGATTTTAAGGTCACCGTTTCTTGACATTCTTGTAAGCTTGTAGAATATCCCCCATATTCCATGAATTTCTTGTTAAGGGAGAAGGGGAAGGAGAGGGACGGGGATTGTTTTTTTTTTTTTTTAATATTTTTAATATAATAATATTTTTTAAAAAAAATAAATTACTAAATTATGACATGTGTCACTTAACGGAGGAAATTAATGTTGTTGACGGCCCATACACTTAAAGTGGTAACGTTTGTAATGTTAGGCATTGAGATGAGTCAAAAAAATACTTTATGCACCTATTCGTAAAAAGCGGTATGGTTTAAGCACTTATTTTTGTATGAAATCAATCAATAATATTTTTTTTAATATGGGATAAGTACAATGCATCATGTTTTAAGATAATTCTGAACTATTTGACATTTAACACTCATGCCTATGACATTTCCTGGTGCTCAAACTCTGGACCTCAAAAAATAACAACAATTTTTTTCCATCAAAACCACTCAGTTCGTATCAATAATGTTTTTTTATTTCAATGAAAGGGTGCATTTCGATAAATAATTTGATATAAATATGGTTTTTGATATTTGATTATAAAATTAGTATATTTGGATAAAAAGGCTGATGGTGTTCGTAAATTTTGTTTTGGTTTGAAAAAGCAATTTTTTTTATTTTATGGATTTTTTTAGAAAATAATATCTAAGATGCGTGACTCATAATATGTACATCATGTTTGTAAGATTATATAAAAAAGTTAAGTTGGCATAGTGATTAAGCTTTAGCCTTTGTATTCAAAGGTTTTGAGTTCAAATCTCGCCAAATGTAGTATTTTATAAAATTTTATCAAACAAAACTATGTCTGTCACGATGCACGATTATCATGTCATTATTAGATCATTAACAGTGGGGTGGCATAATTACACTGAAAATAAACGTTACTATTAAAATTGATAAATTTAAAAGTTTGGTGGTATATTATTAGTTTATTCATATTTTATTTGTACTTTCAATTAATAATATATTATCATTCTCTAGAATTTTATATATTTATTCCCTCCTAAAAGTTTTAAAATTTGCTTCCTCTAACCTAAAATCCTCATTCTCCCTTGATAAAGTAAACAATAACCTTGCGCCCAAGCTAGTTAGCTTTAAGTGTCTTGAGCACTACCTAAGGATTTATTTGGACTGAATTTATACTTTTTATAATGCTAGCATTTCTAAAGGAATTCGGGTGTCCTGATCGTTTCCCGAGCATCAACCAAGGCTATTTTTATGTCACTCTAATTGATCTTGTTTCTAAGTGTAATTAATATCATTAATATTCTCACTTTTAGTCTTATTTAATGATATAATGACATGTTGGGGTACCTCGAACCAAATCCCCTTAAAAACTGACATTTTTGCTCAAAACATACTGAAAGTATCGATACTCACCCAAGAGTATCCATACTCATGCAAAAGTTTCGATACTTTATATAAGTATCGATACTTTTAAATATTCTGTTCTGCCCATCTTCGAAACTTTATGATAGTTTCAAAACTATGACCCAAAGTTTTGATACCCTTGCCCATAAACTCATTAAATTACCCCAAACAAAGAACAAGTATCAATACTATCCCAATAGTATCGATACTTTACCTGCAAAAATCATGAAACACTTACTAAAATGCTATAATTCAATCCCAAATACCTTAGTAAGGTTACCAAATATGTTTAAAATTTTATTTGATCGACAAGAGTCATAATAGATGCTTTAAACACATTTATAATTCTAAAACAAGAATTTCACCATGAAAATGTTTATTATGCTCAACTCAACCATTTAAACTAGTTTGAACTTCTAATGACTCACTAAGACTATAGAAGAGTTGTGAAGGTGTTACCTTGCTTATTTGGTGGCTAGAACTCTCATCAACTCAACCAATGCTCAACTTTTCTTTGCCTTTTGAATTGGAATTCTCTCCTACTTCCTTCACTAAACAAGGAAAGAAAATGAATTACCAATCCATTTAGAGGTTGGATACATTCTAAATAACTCCTTAATATCCAAAACATAGCCAGAATCCATAGATTCTCACAAACCTCTCAAAACCCATTTTTCCTCTATGGATAAAAACTAGTGAAATGAAGCTTGAAGGGTGAGGGTTAATAATCTTACATTTGCTTGACCCAAACTAAACTTGAAGTCCTAAATCCTTCAACTTGAAAATGGGAGAAAAAAAAAAGAAATGCTGGAAGAAGAAGATGAATGTTTGGTGGGAAATGGGGAGTTTTTCACCTAAATCACATAAAAATATGTAGTTTTCAACTTTTGATTTGTTTTTATTCTTTCTCAATTGTTATTATTTATAAACTATTTTATAGAATGCTTGAATGTCTTATGATTATAATTGGATAATCTGATGCGGTTGTCCTAACAAAATAACAACAATTAAGACCATAACATAATTTTTTTCTCAAATTCAAACAACATAATATAAATGTGTATAAACTATACCATCCCTTAGGTGGCAGCCCCAATAAAAGCAAACCTCCTCAAACTAAGGGGATTAGTCAATATAGAGTCTATTGATAAGATGTTAGAAGAGGTATAACGCGTAACAAATATCAATTTAAATACCAAAAATTAGCAGAAAAAAAGTGTTTTTGGAAAACAAATGCACCAGAAAACGAACTTCTAATCTGCAATTCCAAGTCAATGAAAAAATCATTCATCCCTTGGTTGATTCCACCAAGGGATAATCAAACCCAGACAAGAACAATCCAAGAATAACGATGGGGATGCGTGTAAAATCGAACCCATTTCTTCTTATTGCAGCTTTGTTCCACATTTTGTCAGCCTTCTCATTGGCAGAATGTTGGCAATTTGCCTGTGCCTGTGGATCCATAACTCCGCTGTTTAATCAAATTATATTATGGTTTGTTCATCAACATGGTAACTTGTTCTCCAAGTTTTCTGTATGCAGTCCGTTGCTTTTAGTTCTTTCCCTTTCTTGGTCACTGCTTCCGTCTGGTTCGTGCTGTTCGGCTTGTTGATGTTATGTCCTTGTTGCTGCTAAAATACATCAACTCCTATCGGTATTCGCCGCTTGCTTACGTGCTCTGTCTCGTCTTTCTCATACTTTTCACCATTTCAGCAATGTAAGTTTAAGTTTCCTCATACGTATTGTTTTCTAAGCTTACCTGTCTTCCGATTACAGAGTTAACTACTTGAATGCATTCATTTTGCAGTGCCGGATGTGGTGTAATGTTCTTGGGAGAGAAAAGATTCTTGGGAGCCTTACGCGAGGCCGCAGGATATGTAGTGCATCAAGGAGAAACAATCTCGAATGGTCTTATAATCGTCGTCAATTATCTTCAGTTGGCCAGGAACGTTTCTTTGAACAACAAATTCCTACCACCCGAAATCATAAACCAGATCGACAAGGTCACCTCTACATTGGATGAAAGTAAAGACCTCCCTCATCTTACGATGATACGCATGGCAGATTCCTTGTTCGAAATTCTCAAGCATGTATATGTCAAATGAATGTTTTTCTACACATCATATTCATGTATCATAACGCAGACTTCATCTATGCGTTGTTGTTTATTCCAGGAACACAGCTCTGATCTCTATCACTACTACCATGCTTCTAGTAGCATTTCTTGGATTCTGTAAGCCTTTTGGTTCCCCTATAAACTGGTTGATTATCAATTATTGTTCCAAAGTGTTTCATTGTTCTTTTTGTTAGTGGATTGCAGTATTTTCGGCTGTTGGCTGGCAAACATGGGTTTATATGTAAGTAACCATGATTATCATCTTCTTGTCCATCATAATCATCATCAAAACTAATGATCAATGGTTGCAGATTCGTGATCATCGGGTGGGATTATCACGACTCTCGCGTTTATCTTGTGCGGTGCTTTTCTTGCTTTCCACAAGTAAGTTTAAACAAATCATATGTCCATTGGTAAACTTGTAACAGATCAAGTTCCATATCTGACCATATTTTCACTAAAACATTTCAGCTTAATGGCAGATACGTGCACCATGGTGGACGAATGGGTGCAAAACCCCATGGCCGGTTCGGCGATCAAGGAACTTCTTCCTTGTGTGGATAGGGAATTCGGAAAAAACATCAAGGATGTGAGTAAATCGGTTAGCAATGGGATTAACGATCTGCTGAACCTTGATGTTTCCCTTGTAGCCAATAACAATGACATACCTCCACACGCAGTAGGTCTTTACTACAATCAATCCGGTCCCTCATTGCCCACCGTTTGTGACCCGTACAAGGCAGAAAACAATAAACAAGCTTGTGGTGAGGGTCAAGTAGCAGTGGGCAATGCAACACAGGTACAATCCGATTCTTTATCTATTTCGGTTTTCGACTCTCGGTCTTTCTGGTTGATTTTATCATGTTTGATGTTAGAAATGGAGCAAATTCGTATGCCACGTATCGTCGTCCGGAATTTGCAGCGCACAATGGCGCCTGACCCCTGACTTGTACAAGCAAATGAGTTCTGCTGCTAACATAAGCTACGTGTTGTCCCGTTACGTTCCTTTCCTTGCTAGCCTAGTAGACTGCTCCACGATCTGGGAAATTCTCAATTACATGCATCAGCATTACTGTCTGGGGCTAAGGAAACACAGTCAAGAGGTTTATATCGGGTTGCTCGTCACCACGATCTCGGTGATGTTCTGTTTGGTCTCTTGGGTATTTTATGGTAAAGAAAGGCGAGATCGAAAGTATACCAAAGGGACCAATACGGTGCAAGCTGAAACAACCCATGAATCCCCTGATGCTAAAAAATAGGGATTTCAACTGCAGTAGAAGTTGTGTTGTTGCATACATAACGAATGCTATCGCAGTTACTTGCACTTGTCTATATGTAAACTTCCTTTGCAATATGGATAAATGGGGCAAGAGTACCTATGCATAAAGGCGTGTGATTGCAATATTTAGGTTCAAATATTTAATACATGCAGAAAGCTCATTGCATATCAGTTCCTAATTTTAACACACCCATTATTTGTGAGTTTGTCATAAGAAACACCAGTAAATTCGAGGCTTCACGGTGGAACAACAAGGTTGCAGGTTCGATAGGTTCGGCGAGGAAGACAAAGAAGATGGGTGCCGGTTGCGTGCATCCGAAGAAAGGGTACTCGAAATTCAACGTGGAAGCTGTTAAGGTAACCCTTGATGATCAGGCTCGGAGGGTTACCATTTCATGCAGCATGAAGCATGACAAAACCGTGGAATTTATGGGATTAATGTACTACTTAATAGTCTATTAATTGGTGGTAGATGGAAGCATGATTATTCACCTAATGAAATTAATGGTCTGTGTTTCTTTCTTCTTCTTCTTCTGTGATTTGGATGGCCATGTTCTAAACATGGAACATGGATTTGGAATCGTAGGAATTAGGCTTGGAAATTAAAAGATAAAAAATCAAAAGAAACGTAACAAAAATAAGGATAAAATTAAGAAGAAGAAGAAGAAAAAGTGTCTTTTCAAGAGAATTTGGACAATAAACAAATGAAGAGAATAATTAATTCAGATTAGAAAACAAGGAATAGAAGCGAAAAAAGAAATAATAATTAGTTTCGTTTTAATTATTCGTCGTTAAGTAAAATAAAAAATTTAATTCTTCATCATTAAATACAATAAATAATTATATGATATATATATATATATATATATATTAATTTGAATGAGAATATTGTTTTATCTTGATATATTAATATTATTGTAATTCTTTTAATAGTGAGTGACTAAAATATAATTTTAATATAATTTAAAAAAAATAATGAATTGATGAAAATAAAAATGCATGAATAAGTAAATGACCCAAAATGGAAGGAGTTTTGTATATCAGACCTTTTAAGAGAAATTCAATTTTGGATAAACTACGTGTTTAGTATTTATACTATAAGTTTTAATCTGTTTTAGTTTAAACTTTTAATTTTTTAAAATCATACTTAAAGTTTAGTTTTTATTTTATTTTAGTACCTATGTTCAAAATTTAACGTGAAGTTTATTTTTTTTTGAAAGTTTAAGTACTCAAACAGATCAAAATTGATTAGGTGCTAAACGCGTTAAGTTTTTAACAATGAATACTAAAATGAAATAAAAACTAAACATTAAGTATGATTTTAAAATAAATGAAAGTTTAAATATTAAAATAGATTAAAACTAATAATTTAGATACTACATGCGTAGTTTACGCTTCAATTTTCAAGACTTATACTTTCTCTTCTACTTCCCTTGTTTTATTCTGCTCTCTTTTCAACCACACAGATAAGCGTCGCGTGATTTCCATCATTTTTTTGTCACTTACTAATAGTCTGTTCTTCTTCTTCCGATTCTCTGCCAAGGGAAAAAAAGCCACCGATCATCTTTTTGGAAAGCAAAACGCGAAGCTTAAGAATGACTTTCTGTATAATCGAAGAGAACCGGCCGTGTGAGTTCATTTCAACCCGGGAATTCGTTATTTGAGAAAAATCCTTGTGGAAATTTCTCGGCCCATCTCTCTTTTGCGACTGGGAGCTCTTCGTTGAGGTAAAAGTTTCAATTTTCATAGGTTTTTTTTATCATTATTTTGCATTAATTTCCTCGATAATTTCACCTGAACATGTTTTTTCCGAGTCGTTAAAATTAAATATTTTGTGTTTTTTTTTAATCTCAGCAGTTAATTAACGTTGATTATTTTTTTTAAAAAAAAAATTTCTGTGAAAAAAAAACCAGAAAGAAAACTTGGTAGAATATTTGGATTACCCGTAACAGAGCAACCCCCCCAAAATTAAATTACTTCTATTAGAAGTGGTTTAAATCATTGGTTTTGTTGATACTTGTAATTCGCTTATTCTTTTATCGTATAATAAGAATACACGATCAAGCTCTAAGGGGGATAATTTCATTGGGAAGATGTCAAAAATGTTTAGCTAGAAGAATTTCAAGTCCAGTTGGTTTTGGTTAAGATGGCCAAACTTTTCATAAACCTGAGCCTCGGTAGCATTCTCTGAAGCTAACTAACCATCAGTTCTTTACTGAATAGCAATTAGTTGAACATTAGATATGCTTGCCAATTGCCATTGATGTGCTAATTTAGTGGTGTTTTAGTGAGTTAGTGTCTTCGTTATGGCCTAGACAGAAAAAGAGAAAACAAAGGAACCTTACCAGTCCTGGAAAGAAAGGTGACTGGTATTGGTGTTAGACTATAAGTGTAATAGTATTATCAACCAAGTGACAGCAAATTGTAAATTTTTTTGATAAGAAACTAGGCCTCGTTAAAAGCCCCTTTCATACCTGCCGCTGTACAAAAGTACCTCAGCGGACATTGGAAGGAGGAAAAGAGTACCTCACATATTATTCCAAAAAGAAATTACACCTCATACAACAGCACTGTTCCAAACATCACCCACCAACTTTACCTCAACCCACCATACAAACACATCATCCAAACAAAAATTACTAAACAATTACCCTATACCCGACTTAGCCAAACTGTCAGCCTCTCAATTAACTAGCTGTGAAAACACGGTAGGACACACTTCCGGAGTGTTAATCCATTTCACTGCAATTGCAGAATCAGTCTCTATAATTGACTGACCCCTACCACACCATTCTGATTCCACAAACAAAGCTAAACCAGCTTGAATGGCCTTCAACTCAGCTAAGATAGGCGGACCTGGATCAGTAGATGCCGAAAATGAACCCAAAATCATGCTCTCTTCATTTCTAAGGATACCACCAATTCCACTGCTATTCCAATAACTTGTCACTGCCCCATCCACGTTAATTTTGAAGAAACCCGGGGGTGGGGGACACCACGGGACCGTTGAGAGATTTATCTTCATGGACGGATTACTTGAATCAGCAGTCACCAACAAGGCAATCTAAGAGAACTGGAAAATTAGGAAATTTCGCCGAAAACCACGCAACCACTCTATATCTAGAAATAAAGAACGACTGTTTAAGATCAAGACTTCCATTCTCGAAAACGACTTGGATTCTCGAAAACGACTTGGTTTCGACACTTCCATACTGACCACAAGACAGCTTCCGGAATAAAATTCCAAATAAGATGACAATTAAAATCCAGCAAATTGTAAAATTGTGGTTTGCAATTGTGGAATATCATGTTCAATTGTACTATGTCTGTGAGTGTCTGGGAACTTGTCCGTCATTGTTAAGAACTAAAAGAGATGCTGCGAAAGCTTTATGTTGTAACATTACCAGAAAGATTCCGGCTGTTACTTTTAAATTTATTCTTTCTGGTATCTATGTGGAAATGTAAGGAGGTATTAATAACTATGTGAAAGCGAAGTGTTCTTTTGAAAGAGCTTTGTCGGATGTTTTGCATACTTGAGGGATTTGTTTCCGAACTTGCTAGTTTTCTTTTTTCATGATCTATAATTTATAACAAAAAAAATATGGAAGTGTTCTGATTGTTCTCTTTTGGTGTTGTCAGAATTTGATGGATACCAATAACTGGAGGTCTACTCCTCTAAGTGGAGAGGCCCCCATGGACACAGATGATTGGAGAACACAGTTGCAGCCAGATTCACGACAAAGAATAGTCAACAAGATGTAAGTGAATTTTATGGTATTATTTTTTGTTTAATACACATGTTTTTAACTTACTGAGATTCTGCGGATTGTTTTGTAGTCTTAGTATTGTTATGAACAAAACATTCCCATTAAGAACAAACGGTTTATTTCCTTCTCCAAATTGCTCTCTTTGTTTTGTAAATACATGGCTTGAGAACCCAAGCTTGCTCTTAAGTCTTACCGGGCACAACACACAGGCCGCATATCTGGAATGTGATGCGGTTATTCTATTGTCCAACTTTATGTGGTGTATTGTGATTCATTATTTAATGAATTTACGTAATTGGATAATTAATATATTTTGTTTTATATCTTTCGTTCCTTGTAAGCTTGGGAGTTGTTATCTCATTCATTTGCACTATGAATTGGTGATTTTCTTTTGTAATTACTTACTGAATTATTACTTTTCATGAAGTAACTTATTGCTGTTAAGTAGCATTGCATTTCTACATCGTTGTCTGAACAATGGCAAATATGGTTGTTGTCTATTTGAATGTAACTGATATATGAAGGCTTTGTTAATTCCAATGTTGTGGCTTCTTGATATATAAATGTGACTATCCTGAAAAGTTGCAGTGGAATTTTTTTTGGTGCTCATATAATATCCTGCCTAGTGTTCGTTTGATTTTGTGTTATTTAATGGACCTGATAACCTGGTCCTTAGCATTTGTTTATTTAGCATTTGAAGATTCTTAAGTATATCATATTTGTGTGTTGGTAACTTATGCAATGCCCTGTGTACATAGAATGGATACATTGAAGACACACCTTCCATTTTCTGGTCAAGATGGTTTAAATGAACTAAGAAAAATTGCTGTACGGTTCGAGGAAAAGATTTTTACGGCAGCAACAAGCCAGGTAATCTTAGAAAGGGGCATTCCTTAACGTGTTTGGTCACAGTGTTGTTTGTGTGCATGTGTATCTTTATGTTCCTTTCTCTGCTTTATTCATATGTATGGAAATGCACACACTCAAACTCCTTACCTAGTCAACTATGTTGGAAGTAGATAAAGAAATCTTGTGAAGATGTATTTGAATAATAAAGTAAACTTGTTTATTGTAACGTTATTGTCCGTATTCAGACTGATTATCTAAGGAGAATATCCTTGAAGATGCTTACAATGGAAAACAAGTCTCAGAATGCTATACCCACCACAGGGAATAACAGCAAACCACCTGATCCAGGTAATAGCAAGAATCAGCATTTTGCTTTTATGTGAGTACAATTCTTTTCATGTCCTTGTCTTTTCTGTTCCTTTCCATGCAGAGTTGAGCACTTCATACACCTCTGCATGTATTAGGAATAGTTTTTTCATTGTTTTCTTCTTCCCCGTATATTTTATAAACTTCTCCTTGTATGATTCAATTGCCTTGCATTTTTTAATACATTAGTGTTTCGGTATTTTTGTTGTTCATTTTGTTCTAAATGATTTTGAATTCAGTTTTTGTGGGTTATTCTCCAACTTCTTAAGAGTATAAATATCTTGGATAGGTTCTCAGGGCATGCAGAACCAAGTACACAGTCAGGGGCAATCAGTTCCCATCTCACTACAAAGTAGCCAATCTCAAGCACAACTGTTATCCCAGAGTGTTCCGAATAGCATGGCACCTGCAGGAGTTCAAAGTTCTGCTGGTTTACCATCTGGAATGCCTACCGTATCCCAAAATCCTGTACCTAATGTTGTTGGGCAGAATTCCAACATACAGAACATGCCTGGAATTTCACAGAACTCACTGGGGCAAGGGATGTCCTCCAATGTTTTTGCTAATCAGCAGCGACAAATGCAAGTAACACAACAGGTGCTTCCACAACCGCAACAACAGCAGCAGCATCCATACCATCAGCAGTTACAAAATCAACTTATGAAACAACAGATTCAACAGGGAAATATTCAGCCATCACTTATGCAGTCTCACATGCAGCATCAGCAGAATCTGTTACCACGTACTCAGTTGCAATCTTCCCAGCAATCTGGCATGCAAACATCTTCCGTTATACAGCAATCTTCCATGCAAGCAACTCCTGTTCCTGGTGTTCAACACAATCAGCAATCTTCTCTACAACAGCCTACTCAGACCATGCTTCTGCAGCAGCAACAGGCTGCCACTGCTGGTATTCATCGACCACCACCAATGGCACAGCAGTCAATGATGCCTCAGCAACAACATCAGCCTACACATACACAACAGCAGCAACACATAATGGGACAACAGACAAATGCTGCAAATATGCAGCAAAATCAGTTAATTAGACAACAAAACAGCATTGTGGAAATGCAACAGCAGAGGTTTCTAGGACAGGCTAATAATCTTCCAAACCTGCAGCAACAGCAGCAGTTAATGGCTCAGAAAAACCTGTCAAATATTCATCAGCAACAGTTGGGTCCTCAGAGCAATAGTTCTGGATTACAGCAACATCAGCCACAATTGATTGGAGCTCAGTCGGGTAACTTAAGCATGCAAACTAACCAGCAATCTTTACACATGCTATCCCAGCCTAAGGTTCCACTCCAACAAACGGAGCAGAGTGCACCTAATTTGTTACCAACCCAAGGGCAGACATCCCAGCAGTCACAGCAGCAGCAGCAGCAGCAATTGATGTTGCAGATGCAATCACAGTCTAGTTTGCAGCAACAATTGGGTCTGCAACAGCAACCCAATCAATTACAACCAAATATACAGCAAAGGCTTCAAGCATCAGGTCAAGTATCAAACTCCTTGCTTCAATCGCAAAATTTGACAGAACAGCAAAAGCAGTTGTATCAATCACAGAGAGCTGTTCCGGAGACATCATCAAGTATGTTTTTTTGAATCTGTGCCATTGCCTGCTCTTGTTTTTTGTTTGGTTGCTTTCTGAACTTTTGTTATTTAACTGATCTGTGCAGCTTTTTCCTGTGATGATATTGTTTTGCATTTCATTTTTACCCAGAAAGTATTTCCATTCCAACTTATGAGATTAAGAGAAAATTCTTTTGAACTTGTGATATGCTAACTTGTCAAAGCACTTTTTGTTTAGATGATTAGTCCTAGGCTAACAAAAATACATGCTATCAAAATTATTGGCAGCCTTGCCTTAAGCTGATCATTGGCACTGCCTGGTTTTGTATGACACGAGAAACATTTTTTGTCATCCATGTCACTGACTCACTGTTAAGGTCTTGAATGCAGTGATTGCGCTATTATATTACACTTAATGCTTTCCTGCAGTTATACTGCTATGGTTTTGTCAAACCACAGGAACCTGCTGGGTTTTAATCTTTCACCTGTTCAACAAATAATTAGTTCTCTCTCTCTCTGTCTCTGTCTTTCTATTGAACAATAACTGGTTTCTTTTATTCAATGAGTTTTTGCATCAAACTAGAGGGTCCACGTACCAGCCAGTGTCTGTATTTTCTGGAAGGATGCACAATGAATGCCTATAAAAGCAAGTTGGTTCATCCATGCATTTGATGGTCAAAAGGGTGTCAAGGCGGCCTCAATTGTTTGTGATGCTTGGATCTAGTCTCACAGCTTTTGTGGAGACATGAGATTTGTGATGTAGATTTGATTAAATTTTATATAAACCTTGCATTCCTCAGTCTAATTTGTGCAATAAGGTTCTTTAATGATTTAGATTGACTCACTCTTATTAGCTTAACATATTTCTCTTTCAATGAATAATAGGCTAGCGGCAGCATAGCTTTCTTTTAGGTCTTCCTTCACATGTTACGTAAGCTTACCAATTATTTACACCTATTCCAACTGAGATTTTTTTGTTCTTTTATCTTTTAACTCGAGAAACTCAAAAAATTAGCCTTGAAAGTAGAATGGTTTTTGAACTGCAAGTCGTGTTTGTGTCATGTTGGATAGACAGAAATTACAAATTGGCTGCTTTTGTAGAGTAGTAGACGGATGCCTTGGAGTACCCCAAAGGAAAAAGGCACTGAAATTGGATTGTAGGATGTTTGTTTTTAAATGAGTAACCCAATAAACTTGGATATGCAGGTTAATTGCGGGAACTAGCAATAAAAGCCTTTCATTTGTTCGTCCAAAATGTTTAATGGTTTCTTCAAATGCCTTTCACTTGTACCTTATTGTGGGTCAAAATGCCTTTCAGCTGTACTTCATTGTGGGTCTGATGTAATTTTATGACATTGGAATTTGATTATGGATTGCAACCTCCCCTTCTATGCTTGTGTACCTTAATTTGCTATGAGAGTTGGTTGTTTTTTGCTCAAATATTTCTTTCTTCTTTTAATTATCTCTTTCAATGTTCTTTTTCATCCTCCTAAGATTTTTGTTTTTCTTATATGTGCATGGTTTATTTTTTTAGCATCTTTAGATTCCACAAACGGCAGTGATTGGCAAGAAGAGGTATATAAGAAGGTAAAAGTTCTCGACTCATTCTATGTAATATTATACTTACAAGTTGGCCGGAAAGTGGTTATAAAAATGAATATTACAGTATATTGATATGTGTCTTTTATCAAAGGAAAAAAAAAAGAATTAGCAACTTAAAATAAGTTTTGTTAAAGAAATTTAAGCATTTTATTAGTTTCTTATTGCTAATAAGAAAATAAAACCAATTTCTTCAGTGCTCTATGAAAGATCTATTAAATTGTTGAGAATGAGAATAAAAACCAATGATATACAGCATCTTTGACCTCAAATTAATTGTCTTTACTTACTCTTTGTTTCTTATGTTATTTTAACTAAAATCAGTGCCTGCTAGTCAGAAAATGGAAAAATCTTTTTACTTTTTGTATGAATCATATAATGTGGATAAATTGAGTGATTTAATTGTTGGTTAACCATTCTGTGAGTTTACATTACAGATCCAGACCTTGAAGGAGACATACCTGCCCGAATTAAATGAGATGTACCAGAAAATTACTACTAAGTTGCAGCAGGTAGTTCCCCCCTGCGCATAATCTTATATATTCATTCCTTACCATCTCAAAAGTGGTGGAACCCTTTAGGACCATAATCTGCTTCTGTATGTATTAACCAAATTAGAGATGACTTCACTACTCTACGTTAAAGCTTTTGACAGCCCCTCCCCCCCCCCAAAAAAAAAGTGTGTATTCTTGAATCCTCTTCCTTTAGACAGTGTTTAGTGGTCTCACTTTTGCTTATCTGGTGGACTAGTGGTTTTAAAATTTACTTGGGTTGCTTAAGACAATTCTTTGTTCTATTTCCAGCATGATTCTAATCCACAGCAGCCAAAGTCAGAGCAGCTTGAAACGTTGAAACAATGCAGGACAATGTTTGAGCGCATTTTAGCTTTCTTATCTGTTTCCAAAGCTAATATAACACCCCGTTTGAAGGAGAATTTGAGTTCTTATGAGAAGCATATAATAAATTTTGTAAGTTCCATTAGGCCAAGGAAACCTGTCTCCATGATGCAGCAAGGACAGCTTCCTCCACCTCAAATGCATTCCATGCAACAGGCACAAACACAAACTAATCACACACAGTCTCATGATAATCAAATGAACCCTCAGTTGCAGTCAATAAATTTACAAGGTTCTGTGCCGGCAATGCAGCCTAACAACATGACAAGCATTCAGAATAATTCTTTGTCGACTGGGGTTTCGACAGCACAGCAGACCAAGTTAAATTCATTACAACCAGGTTCCAATATGGATTCAGGACAAGGTAATGCCCTTGGCTCAATGCAGCCGGTTGCTCCAGGACCCTTACAACAGAATCCTGTGAGTACCTCCCAGCAGGCAAATTTTAATAGCTCGACATCACAAAGTGGGGTAAGTGGCCTGTCGCAAAACATTAATCCTCTTCAGTCAAATTCCAACATGCTTCAGCACCAGCATATGAAACAACATCAAGAACATCAAATGATGCAGTCACAAAAGTACAAGCAACAGTTTCAACATCGCCAACTACAACACCAGTATATTCAACAGAAGCAGCAGGTACTGCAACAACAGCAGCCACAGCAGCAAGCAAAGCAACAGCTGTCCACTCAATTGCAGACACACCATGTGCCCCAGCTGCATCAGATGAATGATGTGAATGATATGAGGGAGGGGATGGGTGCTAAGCCAGGGGTATTCCAACATCTTCTGGCAAGCCAGCGTCAATCTTATAACCATCAACAGTTGAAACCAGGAGCGCAATTTCCTGTTTCTTCACCTCAGCTACTTCAGGCTGCATCTCCTCAGATGCCTCAGCATTCTTCCCCACAGGTTGATCAGCAAAACCTGTTAAAAGCTGGAACTCCCTTGCAATCTGCAAATTCACCTTTTGTTGTTCCTTCACCTTCAACACCTTTGGCTCCATCACCTATGCCTGGGGAATCTGAAAAACCTGTTCAGGGCACTTCTCTCCCAAATGTTGCTACTATCGGAAATCAACAAGGAACTGGTGTTCAAGCAGGCTCCCAATCCCTTGCAATTGGCACTCCACGGATATCAGCCTCCCCTCTGCTTGCTGAGTTCGCTGGTGGTGATGGAACTCATCGTAATGCTTTGAAAACTGTTTCCAGCAAGTCGAACATTACCGAGCAACCACTTGATCGTTTAACGAAAGCAGTTATTGAAGCTCTATCTTGACACTTCTTTCCCTTTTGTGGTTAAAGCAGTAGAAGTTCTTTGACCTTCTCTTCTCTCAAAAAGATATTGGATTAATTTGATTTTTAATGTGCTTTAATTACAGGTGAAATCCATTTCATCTATAGCATTGCGGGCATCTGTAAGTGACATTATCTCAGTTGTCAGCATGACTGACAGGATAGTGGGCTCAGCCCCAGGTAATGGGTCAAGAGCTGCAGTGGGTGAGGATCTGGTTGCTATGACAAAGTGTCGTCTGCAAGCAAGAAGTTTCATCAGTCAAGATGGAATGAGCGGGACAAAGAAAATTAGACGTCACACTAGTGCCATGCCCCTAAATGTTGTATCATCTGCAGGTAGTTTGAATGATAGTTTCAAATTAACTGGTTCAGAGGCATCTGACTTGGAGTCAACTGCAACATCTAGTGTCAAGCGGCCAAGAATTGAGGTATTACTCTTTGCTCATGGTGCAGGTTTTCAAAAATACCTTTTTTTTGACTTTTTTGGTCAAATTTTTTCAACTTTGACTCATTATTATTTAAAATTTATTATTGATAAAAATATTTAAAAAATATATTTTAGAAACCTTTAATCAATTAATTTTGAAATATATTTAATAAAATTTATTTTTTAAAAATATTTAAAATAATCATGGTCAAAGTTTAAAAATTTTGACTTTTAAAAAGTCAATAAGGGACATTTTTTAATGGGATGGAGGTAGTATGTTTTTTTAGGAAGCCTCTTCCAGAACTTCATGTAAATGGTTGAATTTCTATTTATCACACTGCTTCTAATGCCAAATTTAATGTTCATCAATCCATTTTGGAACCTTTTGGATTATGTATGGTCTTGTTTGTTTTTAAACACCTAAACCTCTAACTTCGTCTATATTTTGTTATCTAAGGAATGAGTTTGTTCAAGTTGAACATAGATGAAGTTTATGGAGATTTCCCATGGAAGCTATAAAATGGCTTTAATAAAAGTTTTAGCAAAAATATTTGGCAAAATCAATTTGCATTTATGAAAAATATTTGGCATAAGTCATACTTGTCTCTACTTAGTTACATACATTTAAGCTTGTGACTAAGGTAAATATTAAAGGTGGCATGAACATTGGTGAAGAAAAATTTGTGGACCCTTTCAGCACTTGCATCATTATTGTTCTGAATCATATGGTTCTTAGGTATTCTTTCTTCTTGGAATGCATATAGTCCTTGGTAAGCATAGACTATCAAGCATCGATAAGAAGCTTCAGCATGTAGTCAAGAAAACCTGTAATGAAAATATTAGTTATAGACACTTGGAAGTCATTGGTTAAATTTCACGGTCCATTTTGACCTTATAGCTTTATATAGTGTCTGATGTGATTGGAAATTTATTCTTTTTTATTTCTTTTTCGAATTCTATTGTTGTATTGTTCAGCGGGGCACTGAATGCAGGCAGATAAAATTTTCCGACTGCTATTATAATTTCTGATGTTTAATCTCTTGGTGTCAATGAGAACTCAGACATTTTGGTTTTTCACGTTTCAACTTCTTAGCGACAATAGAGGCTATCTTTGCTGGCAAGATAAATTTTATAGATATCTTAGTGTTGTCTGAGATAGCCACAATTTACTTAATATGATTAGATATAAAAGATGACATGGAAGCTATTGCAGGCTAATCATGCCCTTTTGGAAGAAATAAGGGAAATAAACCAGAGACTTATAGACACAGTGGTTGATATCAGTGATGAAGATGTCGATCCAGGTGCTACAGCTGCAACCATTGAAATGGGTGAAGGAACCATTGTCAAGTGCTCTTTCAGTGCTGTGGCTCTCAGTTCAAATTTGAAATCACAGTACATGTCAGCACAAATGGTAAGCTTTTAGCTCATGGAAAGAAACTGATGTCTTAACCTGAAGTATTATGATTTTCTTGGCATTATATCTGTTTGTTGCTACGCAGTCACCAATTCAGCCCTTGCATTTGCTGGTCCCCACAAATTATCCAAATTGTTCCCCGATCCTATTAGACAAGTTTCCAGTTGAAGTCAGGTGAGAAACATTTTCCTTTGAATCCCAATCTTTCTCTTCTTCCCCTTCTTTAAATAGGTTTGTATTCTGTTGAGAAACTGCTCGATTCATTTTTGGGAAATTATTATGCACCATGGTTTTGTTTCAACTGTTGCTTGTATTTATTTTATTCGAGTACAATTCAAAAAATAAAAACTGCCAAGTGATGATATTTGTTTCAGATAATCTTTTTTTAACGTTTGAATGAGATAGATTTTAGGTTTTTCATTATCCTAAGGAAAATTTTGTAAGCAGCTATTAGTATTTGGCATGGGTTTTTATGTTCCGGCTGAAAGGCAAGATGTTTCGAGTCTAGATGTCTCTATTTGATATTTTTCTGTCATATTCTGTTTTGCAGTGAGGAGGACGAAGACCTTTCGGTGAAAGCGAAGTCTAGGCTTAGTTTATCACTCCGTAGCCTTTCGCAGCCTATGTCACTCGGTGAGATAGCAAGGACTTGGGATGTTTGTGCGCGAGAGGTTATTTCCGATCATGCAAAACTGAGTGGTGGTGGCAGCTTTAGCTCAAAATATGGGGCTTGGGAGAATTGCGTGACTGCTGCATAGCCATATTTGCCAACTCGGTTAAAGGCCTGAATCTAATTTGTTTTGATTATTGATGACAAGAATTCCCCACAACTGCTATCACGAGGACTTGATAAGCAGTTTTTGGATCAACATATTTGTAATTCGAAGCAACATTCTCAGGTGATATCTATTGATTCGAGAGAGTTCTCTCGAATCCGAATGACATTAAAATAATTACTGTCGGAAGGTAATTATTCTCAGACTCGTAGGGTACGAAACATGGTCGCATCTGGGTCAACTAGGCTACACTTGTTGTGTCTACCTATAGCAGTTCTTTGAATGATTAAATGGGGAAAATCCTTCGTTTCTCATATGTTAATAAATGACAATGCAGAATCATTCACAATAGTTTCATTGTTGCTCGTCTATAGGAGCTTTAAATGCTCTGTTATCACCAATAGCTGTTGAAACGTACCGAATGAATAAAAAATTCTTATATCACCAATAATGGTTGAAACATGCCAAATGAATACAAATTTAATCACATGAATCTTTCTCACCATACCATTTATGCATTCCACCTAACCAATCAATATCAATTTACGTTAGTAAGAATCATTAGTAAGAATCAAAAAGATCTTAATAGATACAATTGAGCTATTTTATATGATGACCTGTCCAAATCCATGTGTATATTTTATATCCATATGGAAATTAAAAAGCTTTTGAAAAGTACTAGTACTAGTATTTAGTAAAAACAAAAGATGGCAGCACCAATAAATACGATAAACAGGCCTCTTCTGTGTTTGTATATGCAAATTGTCCCTGCCTGCTACATCAACAAAGAAGCAAAACAAGTTCCACTAAGCACACAGCACGAATGAAAAAACTGAAGCTGAATGCGGGGAGCAAGCCACCATGGGTTGGGTTGGTAGCTGCTGTATGGGTTCAGATATCAGCAGGGAACGGCTCCAACTTCCCACTCTATTCTCCTGCTCTCAAATCAGTTTTGGGGCTCAACCAGCAACATCTCACCTTCTTGGGAGTCGCTAATGATATCAGTTAATGTCATAAAAAACATAGCATAAAGCATCACAGCAAATGAAATAGGGCGAAGTACCTTTTAAATAAGTGATGCCAAAATCTGTGACCTTACTGCAGGAAATCAGTAGGCTCTTCAAGTTTGCAAGCCCTAAAACATGATAAAAAGAAGTTAGCTAAGAAACAGAAATGAATTAAATAATTCATATCATCCACAAAATTAAAGCATTAGCAAACTTGGGGGGAGTGGGGTTGAATATAGTCAATTTTAAGTGTCCTTAACCTACATGCGATGAAGTGGCCGCGGAAATAAACATAGCCAACTGGAGGTAGAGAACATAAAATTTCTGTTTAACAGGGATGACCGTGAAGAGGTACACGCAGCATGTATATGAATATAAGCCAACTGTAGGTCAAGACTAGACAAGTTTCTTCGTAAGGAAGGTAAAAACAGAGAGCTTACACAATTACATCTATGGGAGATAGACAATGAGAACAGGCTTAACTGAAGAATATAAATAATTTGAAAAACAAAACTACCAAATAGTAACAAAGGCAATGTAAAATTCACCTGAAAGAGGCTTCATATCAGCATCTGTTATGCAATTACACCATTTAATACTAAGGGATTCCAACTTTGTCATGCCTGCAGATTGATTAACAGGGCCCATCAGCCAAATGTAAAATAATACTGACATAACATGCATAACTAACATGAAAATATAACATCCCAAGGAACTGCATCCGATGATAGGCTAACTAGTCAAGGGAAAGGCCAAACCCATCATGAACTCATCACCTTATATGTTAAGAACAAAAAATAAAATACCATACAATCATACAAGTAGAAAGTTACCTTTTATGTGAATAAGCCCCCCATGAATCCTAGGACACTTTTCCAGATCCAGCTTCAACAAGTTTACTAGGCCAGATAAGGCAATCATTCCTTGTGCAGTGATTGCACTGTTTCTCCGAAATGTGAGACTCTTCAAGTTTGAGAGACCTAAAAGATTTTGTCACGTGCTGGAAATTACTAAGATAAGCAAAATTACTGAACATTAATTTAACAAGGAAGTTGGAAGGAAGAAAAGAGAAAGAACTGAACTGAGAAGAAAATAGTAGAAGTGTAACCAGGAAGGGAGGCAGAATATAAACAGAAAAGCGGCTAAGAAAGATAAAATTCAATTTGTCAAAACCTTAGGTCAGAATCCAGACTTGCCTGGTCATATTGCATCACAGGTTGCAATCAACTACTTGCTATTTAATAATTTTACCTATTATGGAATTTTGGCATTTTAGTATATCAGAATACTAGAGCATTAAAAAGTTACCTGGTGTTTTTTAGCCCACGGTCAGAAATCTGGTCACAGTAATTTATATTTAAACCTTGAATGTTCATGCAATCTTTGAGATATATCAATCCAGAATCAGTGATGTCAGAACCAGAGAGGTCCACCGAAAGTAAGGATGATCCTTGTGTAGAGATGGCGTCCATCCAATTTTCATTAACCCTGGGGTAGTCTCCCAGGTGAAGGTCCTTTTGCCAAGAAGAAAAGATATCATGATTCAACTAGACTGATCAACAGTTGAGTAAATATTTGACAAGATTTTGAAATCCAGATTGCCCAATTTATAACTTGTTACCTGAAGAGCACAATCTCGAAAAGCTTCAAGAGAAACATCAGTCAAACTTTGGGAATTTACCAGTTCATTAAAGATCTGCTGACTTAGATCTCTTGGAAGCATAGAAAATGAACCATAATTATCTGTCCTGCTCATGAACCAAACTCGGAAGATCAGTTTGGGTGTGGGAAGTAAGGATTCCGGAAAAAAAGGTACAAGCAATCAGTACCTCCCGTATTCTGTAAGTGCATATTCCAAAAGTGATGGACATTTCCTTTTTTCCCTTTGAATTTCTAGAACAGGCCTAGTAAAAGTTGTTGCTAGCCACTTGGAACTTCCATTCTTGCAATATCTTCCAGAAACCCCTCTGTGGAAATCATCCACATCGCCCGGTTGGTCTCTTTTCCTAGAACAAGCAACCCCCATAGTGGAAATATCTTGTAATCAATATATCTCATAAAAACCAGGCCATGAACCTATCCATTCAATTACCAAAAGTGGAAACATTCATTTTACTTCACCCTGCAAATATGAAAGAGTGCAGAAGAGTAAGTACTGAGCTGACATGAATATCAAGAGGAAGAACTGTCCCACATATTACAATTCTCAACAACCATTGGCTCTAAGAACACGGCATTTATGAAGCAAAAAATCAATTATTTGAAAACACCAGAAAATGTAGTTTGTGAACCATATAAAAATATGTCAGCAACAAATTGAGTTCATTATAATTATATTTCTAAAATATCAGATTCCGATCTTATGATGGATTCTTGGATTTATACTGAAACATGTCACAAGCTGCCCACAAGGATATTAAACACAAATTTCAGCAAAAAAATCTTTCCGTAGGAAAAACCAAGGTCACCTTTACGTTCGAAGATAAAGAGAAGACTCTCATAGTCATTACTATAATCTAAAAATAACGATCCGACGAGAATTATATAAAGCTCCAAAGATCACAGGTAGGAATCAATTTTAAACGACGAAAAGCCTATATGCACGAATCGAATCATTTCGGTGGTAAAAAAAATTATTATTAATTTTTAAAATTTTAGATTTGAACGTAAAAATATAAGAGTATGAACTTTCAATATCATATGATTAAAGGTTGTCTTTCAATAGATATTATCTTGTATTTATCCCAAATTAATAATAAAAATATTTATTTATTTATATATTAACTTATATTTATTTTAAATTTATCTAAAAAATTATAAACAAATATTTATTTATCTTTCGTGGGTTTTAAATTTTATATACTAATAATAATTAGAGGATAAGTAACAACAAGTTTATATATAAATTATATTAGTTATTGAATTTAGTGATAAAAAAGAAATATAATCTTTTTAGTGAATAGATTTGAGTAATTGTACGTCATGTTATTTTATTAATAAGTTAAAAAATTTAAATAGATATTATCTTGTAATCATTACATATTATCTAAAAATATATATTAATTACAAAATACATCCCTAGTCTAAGAATTTTTAATTTTTTTAAAAAAAAGTATGTAAAGTATAAAAAGATAAAACCATTACTATAATAAATTAATAATTATATAATATAAAAATAAATAAACTAAAAATTATATACAAATATATTTTTTGATAAGATCATTTTAAAGGATAAGATGTTTAAAATAAATAAAAAGTGTTGAAAATATCCTCCCAAATATAGATAGAAACCTTTATTTGAAAAAAATGCATAGATAAAAAGTTATTTATCACTTATTGGGATATATTTTATATTTTATTTCTTTTAAATATATTATCATTTAAAATATATATTTTATTAAATAATTTAACTATATCAAGTATTTTATCTTCAGAGAAATATCAACTAACGTTTATAATTTAAATTCAGTACCTATTTTTTTAATATTTAATATTTCAAAACTTAAATATTCACCACTAATTTTTTCTTAATATTTATCAAATAACACGTTACTTTTACTCACTATTATAAATATAAAATCTTATTTATGTATTTTTTTATCAAAATGATACAATCTTATAATATGTCTTGTATTATGTTAAACTTAGATAATCAATGACACGATATTTACTTACATTTTATTGTTTTAACATGCAATATCAAATTAGAGGATATTATGCCCAATAAAAATAAAATAAATAAGCATAATTTATTTCCCTTCAGTCCAAATGAGTTCAATACTTATATAAATATATTCACATATGACACAACTCTAATAGTTACTTATACTCCTAATTAATAATTATATAAAGTTATTAAAACGAACCAAAACTAATAGTTTATATATTAAACGCATAATTTACCTCGAAACTAAACAATAAAGTCGTGATTAAAAGGATGAAGCAAAGTTTACAAAGAGATGAAATTAGAGAAGATGTTAAAGCATCTTTTGTTGCATAAGGTTATGGTTTTAACTTTTAATTGATATATGCTTCGTAGATATTCAATAAATTGAGATCCATTCAAAACCATTGGGACAGAGAGAGCCACTGGTTAACAAGAAAAGTGTAGGTACGCAATGCAAAACTTTTTGGCATGGATCTAACGGTTCAGGTAAAGCCGTACAGCCGTTTGGCGGAATCAAGAGTGTTGCAGAGGAGCATGGCAATTGTCATAGGTCCAACTCCTCCAGGTACCGGAGTAACTGCGGATGCTATCCTCAATGCTTCTTCGAAGCAAACGTCTCCTACGAGACGGTATCCATACTCGGCGCTGGGGTCCTGCGGTGCTCATCCATCAATCAATTTAATACCACATTTTTATGATATCATAACCGTTGGAATATAGAATGAATGTAAGCTCGACAAGGGAAGAGAATTGTGAGTCGGGCGAAATGCAATGATAGTTTTCTCTCTTTTGCGCTGGTTTCCTTATCATAACTACTTTCCCCAAAGTTTTGCCATTCAGTTTCTGTAGTGAAAATGGATTAAAGTAAAGCAAATCAATGAAACAGTAGCAATTTTACCTCAATTGGGCATGTCCCAACATCGATAACAACTGCACCTGGTTTCAGCCAACTGCTACGAACCAGATTTGGTACCCCGGCAGCTGTGACTACTATGTCAGCTTTGCATGTGATCTGCTCGGGATTCCTTGTGCAAGCATGTACTATAGTGACGGTTGCATGGTGCCTCTGTCCAACAATGTAAATGAAATATGCCTATTTAGTCAAATATCTCGTGGATACTGTTAGACGGAACCAGTTCTTAAACCCATTAGAATTATAGGGAAGTACCTCTTTGAAAGAAGTAAAATATAAATATTCTCATAAAAGTTTTAGAGTATGAAGATTTATACATATCATCAACACAGAAACTGGCAAAACGTGCGGACATAGAACTTAGAGATTTATTTTTATCTTTTTGATCGGTCAAAATTATTTTTATTTATCCCTTGTAGTGGATACCACATATCTAATTAAATAAAAAACATAGATCGATCTCTGATCATTCAAATAAGAAAAGCGATGTGGGAAAGATGCTTACTTAGCCATTCACTGCTCAATACATCTTGTCAACTTCTTTTTACCTCTCATACTTTAAAAATGTGAATATATGCATATCAACTTCTTTTTTCCTCTTCATATATTTATGCAACATAATTTAAAAATGCAAATGTATGCAAAAAGTAGATCTTTACCTGCAGTAGCAACGATATAGGCAATCCTACAATGTTGCTTCTCCCAATCACTACTGCCTTCTTTCCCACTATTTCCACGCCAGATCGGATCAATAACTCAAGGCAACCTTTAGGTGTGCAGGGAACAAACAGTGGTTCTCTTCCTCTCATGGAAAGATTTCCCATATTTAGGGGATGGAAGCCGTCCACATCTTTTTCCAAACTCACCACATTCAAAATCTTCTCCTCATCCAAATGCTGTACCAGGAATTTTTTACAAGTCATTTGCAGAACACAAATAGAGGGTTCTCTTGTAAAATTCAAGATGGAATTACAACAGAATAAGTGAGATCATTGAGAGGAGGATTGGATAATTCTTTATACGCTCGCCATGTTGCAGATTAGAAAATATGGGGAAAAATTTGCCCAAACCTAGATTGTATCCTCCAGGAGAAGTGAAGACGCGTATATACTACAAGAGAAGATATCTCTATGAGCAGTACCAGTAACCAGTAGTAGACTAGAAGGCACATACCGAAGGGGCAGGGGGAAACTTTGGTCTGCATTAGGAGGACATCCCCATCAACAAGATTAAGCTATAGCATTATTTATGCTTGCAGGTCCACTCAAGCAGTCAATTAAAATGGATGTGTGATGACCAAACAGAATGTCATTGATGGCTCTGTGACAAGAGATGTAGGATGACATCATGTGTCAAAACCGTCTATGGAGCTACTGAAGTGTCCAAGGACAGGCCAAGAGAAAACCCCCTTAATTTGATCAATATCATGACAATCAAAATAAAATCCCAATATGTGATCGACTGAAAGATATTGCTCATCATGTTGGGATTAGTCCCATGGTGCAGAACCTTAAAGTAATAACTACAAAACATACAAAGGACTGAAAGGAACGAAATAAAACACATTTACAACACACAAAACTTCCAAAAATACTCAATCAAGATGACTAGCTGGAAAAAGGTTCATATTGTCTGGTGACTGATAGATGGTTGAAACAAAACTAAACCATCATACTATTACAAACAAAGTAGAATCAGATTGCATCTTTTTAAACTACTAGAGAACTTGCTCTTATAGTTTGAAATATTAAGAGCTTTCACTACATTTTAATGATGAAATGATATCATTTGATTGGAAAATAGATTATCTCAAGGTACTTTATCTCTAACTCAGAGAAATTTATGTGGGTGCGATTAGGCTAGACATCTAATGCTATAGTACTAGCATTCTTTACCATTAGCTAGGAAAAGCAGAATTACCTCGGGCAGAGGAAGCTGCACAAGAATACCATGAATCGACGGATCCTCGTTAAACTTCAACAATGCAGTCATAACATCCTCTTCAGCACAACAATCAGGAAGTTCAGCCAACACAGATTTGATTCCAGCTTCTTCACAGGCTTTTATCTTGTTACGAACATAAGTCAGTGAGTCCCTTCTCTGTCCGATCAAAATCACAGCCAAACCAGGAACCTTTCCGATGGACTCCTTCATCCTTTTTACATCAACGCCTACCCTTGACCTGATTTCCTCAGCAATAGACTTCCCATCAATTACTTTCGAGCGCTGCACATCGACCACGGTGAATTATCACTAACCATAGCCTTAACTTACATAAAGAATAATGTATAGTTCCGGGAAAACAGAAAGCAAATAGCAAAGTCTCACAGTTATGGAGCTTGGAGGCTGATGGGGATCATGGTTGGTGGAATCGGAACCCCAAATTTCCGGGAGGTCGAGAGAGACAAGAGGCGGAGACAATAGTATTTGTGATTCAGAGCGGTGGTTGTGTTTGCAGTTGGCGGCTGAGGATAAATATCTTTGAGATACTTTTGCCCATCCTACAAGCACTTTCCGAGTTGCATTCTTCACCGCCATCATCCTCGTTATCTTCGTCACTAGCTGCCCATCAACAACCATAAAAATTCTTGGCTTAAATTCCCTCCGTTCGGCTAAATCGCGAAAATCACCAGGCCACTCATGATAGAGAGATGAAACAAAGAAGGGAGTCCAGGATTACTGTTTAGATTATTTTCAGAGCATATTTGCAGTGACATTCATTAGTTTCTTCCGGTAAAAATCCTCTACGGTCTCATTCAATTTTGAAATTAGACGAATTGGTCCCTCTAAAATACTAGCAATTTAATCTCTTCCAATTTCAAAATCACCAATGGAAATTAATCATGGTTTAACGTTTTCAGTTAGTTTTATATAATTTTAGTTTAATTATAATAAATTCAAATCGTAATTTATTATGTATTAATTTAATATAACTTTTTTTTTTAAAAAAATCAATATAATTCGCACAATATACAAAATTTAGAGTGAAACATATAATAGTTCACCAATTAAAAACTAAAATTAAAAAATATTGTCTTGTTGAATCATCGATTATTAAAAATTATAAAATCATCATCAAATATTTTTTTTTTCAAATTTATTATTTCCTGCTAAAAAATTAACAATAACTTGATAAATAAGATATGATATATGTTAAGTTTGAATTTAAAAAAATAATTAAAAATTTATTTGACAACCAAAAAACAATTCACACCTTTTTCAATTTAATAAATTGAGTATATATATATATAGCTTTTTATTAAAGTTTTTAAATTTAAATTTCTTTCATGGCTTTATGTTTTCAGCTAACTTTGTATAATTTTGATCTGCTTCATAATAAATTTAACCCTTAATATTTACTTATTATATCAATTTGATATTGAAAAAAGCCAACACACAATATACAAAATTGAAGGGTTAATTTATTCAATTAAAGCTGCAAAGCTATTATATATATTTATATACAAAGGGTATTATATTATATAAGAAAAATAAATTGACAGAAGAAAAGAAATGATGTTTCTACACTATTTAAAATCCAAATGAACAATCACTATGAGGATTCCCTCCCATAATTCTTTAAAAAAAAACTATAATTATATGAAGACCTGAACCCCCATTCATTCAGGCAAGGCAAATCTCATTTTTCCAGATGAATTTGTATACACAAAAGCTGTTACCTTTAGCACCCGTGACCAACGGTTGATGAACGATCTTCGGGGTTGACAACTGTGTCGACCCCGGCCTTGGCTGCGTTGGTATCATCGTTCACCGGAAGTTTTGTCTTGGGTGATAGCAGTTGGACTTCCTCCGGTGTGTAGATAAAAATTTTCCTCACCATGCTGCAAAACTCACTGCAATTCAAGTGCAAAGGATCACAGGGAATCAGTAGCAGAACTCGGATTCACACAGTATGATAATTTCGGGATAAAGATCAAGTGGTGCATCAAGTGAAGCATTTAAGTATGTCCTGCGAACAACAATACAACGACAATGAGAGGTAGGATGCTCGAACTTACTTCCAGGGATCACCCCCAACCATCATCATGTCATCTTCATCATCGGTGTAGACAACCTGCCAACCCTTTGAAGATCCACAGAGCTGACCTTTAATGTCAAACATATCCTCCAGCTTCCTCAGCAAATCCTCGTAACAATCAAAACTTGTCAAATCGACAGCCCTTCCCACAGCCATACCTTGCATGTGAACCTGAAGATAAATGCTCGTTTAATATAATGCTACTATATTAGTAGCAACATGCACACAAATCATCTCATTTGAGGTAAAATAGAAAAATAAATGTACTCAAGTACCCCTGCACATTTAAATATCTGCTAAAGCACGCAAATGAGGTTCACTAGAATGTAAACTTTCAAGGGATAGTAGCACGAATAGGTATTTACTTCTCAAGCATTTAAAAACAAAAGGAGAGAGATTGCATGACCTTTGTGCAGCTACGAATTTGCTTGCTCTGCGACTCCTGAGGAGATCTCAGGCACTTCTCAGGTTCACAATTTACATAAGGAAGATCAGACCGATTAAGATATGTTGGATCAGACTGCTGGTCGGAGTTAGCATCTAGCGAATGAACAGTCTGATCACCTCCCCCAGTCCCAGAAACCGTAGCCATAGGTGAGTTTTCTTCTATGTTCACGTTGTCAAGTAATTGAATACCAAAAAGCCTGCAGCCATTTCCAGTTCCCTGCTTTCTTTCACTGGATTCTTTGTTCACAACTGGTGCAACAGATTCCGTAACATTCTCAACCAGGTTAGACCAATACATTGAGCTGCCAGAAACTGCAGCCAGGGAGCTATTCCCACTAAAGCCAACAGAGTTAGGCTTTGCAGAAGAGGATAATTTAGGCGATGGCTGTCCATGATGTGCATCACAATACGAGAAAGGAGATTCAACCGGTGGTTTCCATATACCTGTTGCATAAATTTGTCAACTAAAATCTCAAAGCAAGAGCTAAATAAGGGTATTGACAAGTAAATGATCGTACCGAGAGAAGAAATATCTGAAGATGGTGAAGGTAGAACCGGTGATCGAGTCCGCTTGTTCCTTTGTGCAGGTTGTGAGTGAGAAGAGTTACTAGTTAAAACAACAGGCTCCAATTCCCATGGGGAAACCCTATCAGGTCGTACGATTGATGAAGGTTCATCCCATTGAACCTGAAAATAGTCAATATTGTAAAATGTGTTCAGAACTCAAATGTCCCAAGAAGAGTTTATTTCCTCAATGGAGAGCAAATAAGAAATTACAGAAGAAAGAGGTTAACCTTGAGAGATCTCCACTCGGAATCAGCCCATGCGGATGATTTATTATCCCCAACACCAACAATTGTGCCACTGAATCTTCAGGCATAAAGTGTTCGTGGGTTAACAAGTGCACTACCAATGTTGTACTCCCGGAAAAATAATCCAGTCAGATTAATACCTTCTTTCAGGAACCTCTTCACCCTCAAATCTCATTTTGAACCTCATCCCAACTGATAGCTTATGGCTTCGAGCTTCAAGATATTTGTTTACGCTCACTATGAACTTGGACAAACTTGTTCTAGTAAATAAAATGGTTGTTAGAACAAATATTGTCTTTCAACAAATACATACGAAACACAATAGTCACTCAACTTCAATTAATCAGGACAACAAAATTTTCAAGAAGTCTACACACAAGGAAACAAAGGATCTTTGGTTTATCGGACCACACTAAAAATGCCACAAGTAATGAAGAGAAAAGAAAAGACAGAAATGTATAGGCATAGAGAAAGTGCATGCATATAATACACTAACCGTATCACCTTCTTAAAGTACCGCGTACGAGTAGATGTACATAAATCGAATTGCAGCTCACACTCACGGTTCTATATTAAATACATGTCGAAGGAAGAATAAATGATGACCTTAGAAGAGATAAAGAAGCGTACAACTTCAATCCACAGAGAATCAAAATTCAGGGCTCAAAGAATGATAATAAATAAAATGTGCTAACATTAATTAACTCAAAATCTGCAACATACAATTACTTGATTTTAATTAAATAGTAAATAAAACAAATAGACTGCAACGATGATAGTAACAGATTACCAACAACAAAAACAGCTGATAATATTGACAAAACACATGATGAAATAGGTACAATTAGTTGGATTTGTGGGATGAAAAAAAATACAAACCTGGGTTTGTAGAAGACAGAAAACATACTTTGCGTAGAAAGGGCATGAGATGCAGTGGCAAGCACCCCAAGATGCATGCTGTGACTAGATATAACGGAAGATGGCATATTTGCCTGCTGTCTCAAAAGCCTCCTCCCTCCAACGCGCAGCTCCCCATTAGCACCCCTGTAAAGAAGCAAATATGAATTCATAGGTGATAGGGCAGTGAATAAACAAAAGTAACATAAGAGAACGAATAGCTGATTTGTGAAGAAAGATCTTGCCTGAGGAAGATGAAAGCATCGCCAGCTACCAACTTCTTGGAACTAACGAAGACACTCCACCCAGTAGTGAGTAAGTGGCGCCTAGGTTGTCCTGCAGATAGAATTTAACATTTGAATGGTGACAAATGTGTTCCCTTCAAACCACTACAAGCAACTATCATAGATAGAAGTAATAGATGTCTCAAAAGATAAAATGATATAATACAATCACCATACCACACTATTTTTATTTCAGTTTTAAACGAGTACCTTTAAATTACTGATTGCAAACCTACATAAAAGAAAAACACAAGAGGTGGCTCTGAAAGAAGCTAACAGATCAAGGGGGGAGAAGTAGATCCCAGAAACCATTGAACTTGAGCTTTCAATTTAGGAAATCAATTCTTCTAGTTTCTAAAAGTAACAATTTCACAAACATGAGAATACCAATTCATTAGCTTTTAAAAAATCTAATATTAACTTAGTCATTTGAAGGTAATAAGTGTCAGAAGGCTCTTATCTGATTCTAACAAACTATGGCCTACATGATTTTCAAGGTCCTAAGATTCCTTATGTCTTTATCTCCACATTCATAAAGGTTGACCAAAGTTTAAAAGGTAAAAGTTGTACAGTAGATTGTAAAGAAAGGTTCCAAGTAACCAGATGGCACAAATACAAAACAACTTTGACCAAGCTTGCAGCTTAGATGCATGAAATTTTCCAACTTTGACTAAGTCAACCTATAAAAATATCAGTCAAAAAGGTAATAATATATAACCTCGAAAGATATGCCGAAAATGCCACTCGTTTCCATGCAGATCAGTAGCAACCAGTTCCTGCCATGGTGGCTGCTGTCATGTCCTGGGGTAAGAACCACAGAAATTTCAGAAAAATTCTAACTTATGGAGTACCTCAATACAAAGGAAACACGATCAATGTGTTTAAGCTGACCAGTGGGGGCAGACAATCATCTGCATGCCGGCGTAAAACTGAGAACCCACCATGGGTGCTTGTGTCAGAAGCTGTGAGAGTCTTGCAAAAAGAATGGACTATACACCTTTCAGGTTCTGGAAGTGGGTCATCTGGGCTCATAACCTCGCATTGCTGAACCATATTGGAGGATAAAAAAGTGAGGGCAGAAAAAATACAAAGATATTCTATATATATTTACAACTCATTCAACGCAATTCTGATAAGATGTTCTAGAAACTAAATATAGCTTTCAAACATAAACTACATGTCATGATGGAATTAGAGGAAAAGAGACAAAAAGAGGGAGACAGCTTACATCTACTTCAGGTACCAGAGTTATTTGAGC